TATGGCTTTTGACCGTCACATATCAAATGCGTTAAGAAATCACCTGTTTCAAAAGGCTGGAAATGAAACATCTGGCATGGACCTTCCAGCCATAAACATTCAGAGGGCTCGAGACCATGGTGTACACCCTTGCAATGATTATAGGTATTTACTACTAGACTTTGAGTAAAGCTTCTATGCAGTAAACCAATATGCAACTTTACAAGAAAGTAAACAGAGTTTGCTAGATTTTAATTCTTTTATCAAAGCGCACCTGTAATTTGATAAAGATACTTTAAAGTTTTGAAACTTTATCGCTCTTTTTTGTTTTAGAGAATGGTGCGGTTTAAAAAGAGCTCACTCTTTTGAAGACTTAGGAGAGGTTATGAGCCGAGATTCGTATGTAGCACTAAAAAGTGTCTATGAGCACGTGGATGACATTGATTTGTTTCCTGGTATTATGTCTGAAACTCCCATAAAAGGTATTTTGCTTTGTAAGAATAATCTTGCTGTACACTTGATTCGTTATTGTTTGTCATAGAAATGACTGAATAAAGCGCTAATCAAGAGTGTTGATAGGTGCTGCAGCTATGGATATCGGATGACCTTTAAATTATTTTGCATTATCATTTCGCTTGCAGGCGCTTTGGTCGGACCGACACTGGCTTGTCTCTTAGCCGAACAGTTTCAACGCTTGAAACGTTGTGATCGTTTTTATTATGAAAACGATGTATCAGCAACTCGATTTACACCCGGTAGCCCCTTAGTTGATAAAACTCTTGCCTCAGATTGCTTCACAAACAAAAATGCTTCATTAAAGAACTCACTTTGTTTGCAGTGAGGGTTAAACCGTCCAAAAAAATTTTCATACTGCTTAAAACAGATTAATTTAGGTCAGTTGGCTGAAATCAGAAAAACGAAACTTAGTAAGTTGATTTGCGATAACAGCCAATACGGCCGACGCATTCAGTCAAACGCCTTTTTGATGCCGGATGATCTCACGTCAGTTTTTATTTTTATTTTTTTTT